CCTACACTAGAGAGCATGCCCCGGGGCACCTCCGTCACCCTAGTTCAACCGCGTATTTCTAAACTTATATACTAAAAGGTTACGTACCAGTTGCTGTAATCGTCTGTCAAGGCTAGTGATTATTGCAAATAAAACTACTGCAAAAATACAAGTATACACTAGTATATATATGCATACTAGTTATATACGTGTATGTTTCCACAAATAAAATGTGGGTGACTCTACTATGCAAAACGATTATTAAAAAAAAAAAGATTCGTATCGTACGCGTGATTCTACAAGTTATATTTATTTGAATAACTTTTTCAAAAAAACGCGGTATTATTTAAATCACGAACGATGTACAATGCACCACCTATAACGCACACACAGGTGCAATGTACACCGTGCAATCACTAGCACAATGACAGCCGCCAAAGGAAAACTTACAAACTAATAACCCATGCGATCTTTTTCTCACCCATACGTGTAACACCTGGGTAACACGCATAGATGAGAACGAAGAGTGCATAGGGGGGAGAAAAGGGGGTATTAGTACATTAGTCGCTGAAAATCCTAATCTAAAAAATTGATTAATACATTTTGAATATTCTCAAGTAAATCTAAGCGGACTATGACTCTACCAGTCTTTAAGACTTTCAAAAAGATATTAAAAATTGAAAATAATTAAAAAACCTCGGACGACTCCTTTGATTAAGTTGGCTGTTCTAATTAAAGAACTGGGCTTTTTTAGCCGCCACTTAACTGCCAAAGTCTATCCGTTCGCGAATTTGGTTTGTCTTCTTGCTCATTTATTATATCGAAGTATCGATATATCGTAATAAATCGCGATTAAATAAATAAAATACGAAGCAATGCATGTAAGACATTTATTACATGCTTTATTGGTACGAAATCGAGTAAATTAATACTCGATTTCACCGCTAATAAAACGCGAATCAAACACGTAATAAAAAATCAAAGTGCATTCATTAATTTGCACTGTTAATTAAAATGAATTTAACCGAAGAGCAAAAAGACCTATCCTAAACTAATAAAACATACATACAATGAAATATACAGTTTCATGAGCGATTCCAAAAAGGGAATAATCCTTTTTTGGAATAAACTCATGCGCTCGTCAATAATTTTTTTGGTAAAAATTACAACCAGTAGCTCGTGCCGATTGGGACCTTTCATCCTCGGCATGATTGAGCACCGGAGGGACTTAAAATTTTTCACTCACTCATTACCAATGTTATATAACATAGATGTGACATTTTATTAGAATAAAGTGTCATATGTATGATATATGAACAGTTGGCATTAGAAGTTCTGCGGTGGCTCCAAAACACTCCTAATTCGTAGAAAATGGTCTCAGCTGCATCCCTCGTCCACCAGGTCCATCGGAGAATTCTTTGATGCACTTTTCCTTGCACTCACTCACTCACTCACTCGCGTGACTCTAATAACGCGGTAAACGAATATAAGAAACTATAGATGAGTTTCTTATCGCGAAACCGAAATTTCTCTTATACGGCGAACAACACTGACTCTACATACGCGTATGATTTGAATTTAATTTTACGCCCGCCCGGTCACTGACTCTACTTCGCGATCAAAATTGTACTTTTTAATTAATCGAACAAACACTGACTCTACTTCGCGATCAAAATTGTACTTTTTAATTAATCGAACAAACACTGACTCTACTTTAAAAAACTGCATTGCACGCAGTCAAATGCAAACACACGAAAATTTCACTCCCGGTCACTTCACTGACTTTACTTTCGCGAACAGTCTGTACGACTGTTA